CAGAAGGAAGTCTAGCATTAACTGTACTAACACAACAAAGTGTGAACAGTTTTTATATGAAAACTACTCCCACCCCATTCCTGAATACTGACAATAAGTTCGTGTGATGGAGGCGATTATGCAGGCCATCATCAAGATCATGCCAAGAGTAGTATTCCTCTCTCTTCTCTTCTTCCTGGTCATTTACAGGGCAATAGCAACTCTTTTCTCTAATATGAATATAACTCTACATGTATGTGGGCCACAGGAAATCATTTTTGGGTATTATGTCTGCCATGGAGAGATAAAATCTTCAGATGTCGCTTGTGTTCTTATTTGGATATCAGTGACAGTCATCAGTGGCTCACTTGTTCAGGATATCATTAAGAAAGGTTTGGGTCAATCACCTTTTAAAGACTTCCACAAGATTCTCTCTCTACTCAGCATCATATCGTATGAGATTTGGATGTTTGGTTATATTTATCACACCTATGTTACCGAATTTGATTGGAATTTCCAACTAATAATATTCCTACCACTGCTGGCTCTCTTGGCCCATTCAATTTTTCAAGCTTTCCTGTCCTATGACAAATATGTGCTACCAAATAATGAACAAGGAACTGTTTATTTCATTGTCACGAGCTTTGGCTTCAATGGCATCATGATGGTCCATGTTTTGTGCATGTTCATAACTGCTTTATCCACTGGAATATCGAAAGAAGAGAATTTCATGTATGCCACCAATGTTTTGTTTCTGGGACTTGGCGAAATAATGAATCGTGGATATGTCATGTATAAACAATTTAAGCAAGCAAAAAATCGTATCCCATACAGCATTTCGGTTAAGGAATCTCATCGTGCTAATCCTGATGGAGAATTAGTAATTGGACAGACTCAAGACAGAGGAGACATTGCATATTTGACTGCTACCGTCCTTGTTGTTGCGGCAGTTGGAGCTACATGTATTGTTGCAGGGAAATTAGGAAAGGCTAAATTTTGACTATAACTACATAAACATAAATATAGACTCACATGCATTAGCAAATTTAGCATTAATATTTTGTCTTGTGTTTATTTAATCATGGTATAACATTTTATTAGTAATGACGTGTAGGTCTGTCACTGGCAAAAGCATTTCAAGAACCAACCAACACAATAAGTTTAAATTTATTAATCTTGTTTACTTTCATTTTCCTGTCCATTGCAAAGCGAATATACCATATCTCACAGTTTGGAACCTCCAACATCAAATAGAATTATTTCTGAGTAGTTTAAAATGTCGTCATTATTAGGTTTATGATATGAATGAGGCTCCCAAATGCTATGGAACCACTAGATGGAAGCCATTTAACTATAAATATACCACAAGTGTACATTTGCTTGAGCCACATTAACCACTTGTCATGACAATTATTTTGTTTAAAACAGATATACACCTCCCATCAGATGTTTATCCATTACAAAAAACCCTTTCCCTCTCTCAGCTCTCTTCTTCCTTCCCTCCCTCTCTCTCTTACTTTTGTAAAACTTGAAAGGATTTCTGTTGTGGCTTATCATCAGGTCGTGGAGGTCTCCAAAGTATCAAACTATTCTCACAACTTTTAGAAAACACTAGTCAACCGAACCACCTCACACAGTCAATGTAGTTACGATGAATTTCACGAGTTGAATATTTCGGAAAATGAACCTCCAGTATTGGAAATGACCTGAAAGGAATAAAAGGGTTAAATATACATGTACTTATACATGTACATGTACCTCCATCTCTCCTTTATCATACATGTACTCATTAATTCTTGTACATGTACATTTACATGTAAACCTTACATGTCACTACATTATATTATTTACACGTACATGTACATGCACTTGTATTACTGCACATACATGTATATGTACATTTACATGTACATTTACATGTATACTAACAATAATATAAGGTACTGTATGTACATGTTCATGTACATGCCTTATACATGTACATGTACATATATGTCACAAGACTTCTTTACATACATGTCAATTCACATGAACATGTATGTATTACCAATAATTAAATTACTAGTAC